TTAATTAAAGAGAATTAGAGAATCTTCTAAGAAGATAGAGCAAATAGCTCTTAATTATACTACTTCTATTTATAGAAACTAAGAAACCTTTGTTGAGAAAAAACACCAAAGATCATATAAGAATAAAAAAAGAAATCTATATAATAATGAAAAATAAAAAGAGAAAATTATCTGCTATAATTGTAAAAAGACTAAACATATTATCTAAAAATGCTTATCAGAAAGAAACTAAAAAGTAATATAAAAGAAACAAGAAAACTTAGCAACTATATAAAATGGCTTGATCAGATAAGAATAATGACAATAGATAGTATGAAAATAAAGTGTATATTTTGAATAAAGATGACTTCAAGCCAGTACTAACAGCAATATACAAAGTAAAAGAGCACAAAAGCAACTAGGTAAATGCTGAAAAAAACAATTAAAACCTTAATAAGCCAATAAGCAACCTCTGATAAACTTTGAGTAAGAAACTGAATTCATAGAAGATGATATGTTCATTTCAAAAAGATGACTTTAATGTGAGAATGATCTATTAATTGTTAATACCTTGACTTTGTTTTTTTTATTTATTTTAAAGCAGCAATCTTGCCTATCTGTCTTTATTGGGTAATATATTATTTTTTAAGTATATACAAAGTCTATCAACGAAAGTACAACTAGTTATATATATAACTTTAGTTATTATCTAATTAAGAGTTCTGCCTAAGGGTTACCCACTAGCTGTCATACCTGAGATCTGTCTGTGAATTCCCTATTTAAACTTTCTGATTTCAATCCTATTGTATATATATAATGCTTCTATTATCACATAGACATACCAGGTTAAAGCTATCTAATTACTATTTATATCAAGATACCACTTCATTAGATGTTACCAGGTATTCATAGTCCCTTGAATTTACTCTCAACACAGACTTACTAAGTATGATACCAAGATTACCTCTTAGATTTATTCAATTTTAGTAGATCCCATATCTACTAGAACCAGTTTAGTGCCAGAAATGTTCAAATTTCAGTAAGTCTATTCCTTTTCTATGGTTTCCTTTTATGTTTACTATATTACCCACTAATGCACCTTCTCTTCATTTCTGGTATGTTCACTGCTTCTTTTGCATCAAGTGCCAACTTTCCATATTGAGAATCTTTTTTCTAAGAACTTTTTTATACATTGATCTTCTAATCACATAAACTTAGCCACAGAGCTTCGTATACATTTATATGCTTCTGTAGATTACAGAGTTGCCTCTAGCTGAAATTGAATTATTGACCTTGTCTGTGGAGAGAGAAGTGCCTAGACCACTAGGCTATGGGACCCCATCTCTAATATCTTGACTTTGTATAATATAGCTAATAATATTTTGTTGATACTGGCTAATACTACTATAGGTTAATGCTCCAATACTTAAACTAGTAATGAAACCTAGTTAAAATTCTGTGTAGGTCTCTATTTTTAATCTAGAAAGCCAGCTACATTAAATTCAACACTAACAATAAACCACTGCCACCTGTTACTATATGAAAATAAAAAGAAATTCAATTGTAACTATACTCAACTCTGAAGCTGCTGTAAGCATAATGATAAAAATGTTAGTTAATAAATTAGAGTTAAAAATTTAAGAGAAATTCTTCACTATAGTCATTACAACAACTGATACCAAAACTTATATTTTAGAAAAAATTAATGATATAAAAAAGTTTCTTTAAGACATAATAATATGTAACATTTTTTAAGTAATTAAGTCAATAGACAAAACTCTACTTTTAGAAACCAATTAGTTTCAAAAGTACAAATCTAATTACACTTTGACAAAAAACATTTTTACTTAAAATATTATGAATATATAATTAAGGTTCTAATATTTTATTTTGATAATAGTAACTTTTAAAGCCAAACCAAGAGAATAACAAGAGCAAAAGTAAAGAAACTTTTGACAAATTTAACTATGAAGATAAAGAACTATTAGAAACAGAGAGTTACTATACAGAAGAATTAGTAATTGAAGAAAAAAAATTATATGATAACCTATAGGCAGATGCTAAAAGTCTGGCCATTTATTTAACTATTATAGAAGACATCTTTATCTAGAACTTAAAACCTTAAAACATAAAATAATGAATACTTAAATGAATTTGCCCAAACAAAAGAATTGAATAACTAATAGCAAAAACAAGTATAACAATTCTTTCATTAAGAAAAAAACTTTTTTATATAAGATACAAAAGAGTTAGAAAAGCTTTAGTATTAAATTACATAGTTAATACTAAAGATGCCAAATCAATAAAGTAGAACTTGCATTATATTACCTATAAAGAATAAGAATTTATTAAAAAAGAATTAAAAGATATGAAGAAAAGAAAGTTAATTATATAATTTAATAACCTTTGACCTTTTCTGTTGTAATAGTACCAAAGAAGAGTAAGAAATTAAGACTTTGCATTAATTACTACTATATGAATGCTATCATAAAAAAAGATAACTATCTTCTTTTATAAATCATTAATTTATTAAAAAAAATTCAAACCACAAGATAGTAATTAATCTGAACATAAAAAATTGATATTGCTGATTAGAATGAACAAAAAGATAGGGAATAATTGTATTTATTACCAAGTTAGGATTTTAAAATTTAAAGTTATACTGTTTAGGTTATGTAATGTTTCTGTAATATTTCAGAAGCCAATAAATTGAGTTCTAGCAAAATATTTAAAAAATTTACTGTAGTATATATAAACAACATAAATATATACTTTAAGATATTTAAAAAGCACCTGTTGCAACTATGAAAAAGTATTTGAGAAGTTGGATAAAGTCAGATTAAAAATTAAAATATAAAAAATAAGTTTTTATAACCTGAAATCTATTTCTTGAGTCACATATTTAAAAAAAATAGAATTTAGCTTGATAAATCCAAGATAGAGAAAGTAAATACCTTCTTTATCTTGAAAATGATACAACAATTAAGGGCATTTATAGGCTTAGTCTCTTATTATCAATGGTTCATTAAAGGATTTGCCTCTATTGTCAGACTTCTACATCTGTTGGCACAAAAAGATGTTAATATAAATAAGAAGAAAAACAAATAGTATTTTTGAAATACTTAGAAATTATCTAATTACTGTTCTAATATTACAATATCTGAACTTTAATCAAACATTCTACCTTCATACTAATGCTTCAGAAACAGAATTGGATGTGGTATTAATACAAAAAGAAAAAAAAATAGAGTGTGTGATTTTTATACAAGTTAAAGTCTGAATTAAGCCAAAAATACTATTTGACTATTGACAAGAATGTTTAGAGATACTTTAAGTAATCGAGCACTACTACAACAATTTTGGGTTTATATTATTTATAATAACAATAAACTATTCGATATTAAAGTAAGCTCAAATCTTTAAGCTTAAAAAAAGAAGGGCTAAATAGATTCTTTGTCATTAACTATATAATTACACTATTGAGCATCAGTCAGAGAGAGTTACAGTAATGCCAATGCCTTGTTACAATATTTAGAATCTATGAAATTAACACTTAAGAAGATAAATAACAATGTTATTACTGTCATAAAGTGGCTTGAAGCATGAACAGATTATAAGTACCAACTTATCTATAAAGAAATAGAATTATATCAAAGAAATGCTGATGATTTTTTAGATGAAAAAATGAGTTAGAATGAGTACAATAACAGTAGTAAAATAGAATAGAATAATTACAAAATTTTAGAAAATAATAGTTATGATCCTAAATATTCACACAAATATTATTTTGAAGCTAAAGAAGTTTGGTAAACTGAATGAAGAAAAAAAATACAGAATAAAAAAGAAAAAATACATGGTTTTAATTAAAATTATTTTTACAAACTTGAAGGAGATAAAAACACTTATAAATGCCTTAACAAAAATCACTGATGGCTACTAATAAATGAAAATTAAGACTAATAAATTGCAAAATAATTGTATATAATAAATGATCATTTTAAGTCAAAGATAAAAAATAATTTTTAATGTCATAGCAGATAAACACACCTTTAGAAATAGGTGGTATAAGGAGAAAGAAATTAAGGCATTTTTAGCAACCTATAGAATGAGATAATAACCTATATTAATAAACCTATCCCAAGTTCTAACTTTGATAATAATCAAGTCAATCTATATAATAATAAAAGATATACTAATAACCTATTTGAAAAGAAAGTAAGATATGCAATGATACTTGAATCAGTAGTTCTAAAAATCTTCAATATAAACAAATTTACTCTAAATGTTAAAAATCATGAAATCTAAAATGAACTATAAGTATTCTAGGTTAAGAAAGACAAAAATTATATTATTATTTAGATCAATAGATTAAGTATCTTTTGCTAAAAATCCAAATTGAAGGAAATTATAATTACTAAGAGACTAAAAATAACATAATTGAAGAACAATAAAAGATAAATAAATAAATAAATAATTAAATAAAAAAAGATGATACAATTGTTTTCTTATAGATCAAAAATAATAAATTGTAGTAATGATCATCACAGATCTAATGAACTTAAAGAATGTTAGAATGTGTTGTAGCAAGTTGTAAGACTCCAATAAAACTGATACTGAGTTAGTAAGATAATTAGAAATTAGACAAAAAAATATAATTAAGAAAATAGAACCTCAAATTTGATAATAACATAAAATTCAGTTCAGGTAATCAGTGTCTTGGTATTGATAAAGATGGAATCTACTTTGTATCAACAAATTAAATAATATCTGCAAGACAATTACATTCTAAAAAACTAAAGGAGTTTCAAAAAAAATAATTAATTAAAATTGGTAAGATACTAAAATTTAAGCAAGAAATACTGTACAAAAAGAATAAAAATAAATATGGTTGGTTATTAAAAGTAGTACAAGAATAAGAAATCAATGTAATACTGATAATAATGCATACTTATTTACTAGGTGAACACTTCAGAATTAAAGCCATATATAATAAGATTTAATAGATATACTATTAACTAAAAATGCTAAAAGACATTAATAATATATTAGAACATGTAATGCATGCTAATGAAAAGACAAAAGGACCCCTTTACTTTATTTCAGTATCATCACCATTTTATCAAGTAAGAATATATATCATAATGATTTTGCTTATTACTGTTTGAAATAAATAATATATCATAATTACCATTAATTATATAATAAAATGACCTAAAGCTCAAGATATCAAATCTGTAGATGCTCTAGCAGTAGCAAATTTTCTTTTCAATAGAATCATTTACCAGTATAAATGTTCAAAGAAAATACTAACTAATAGGGAATTCTACTTTTTAAACTAGCTAGTAGATAAGTTTTTAGAAAAATTTTAAATTTAGCATCTGTTAACTATCTTATATTAATCACAAACTAACAGATTAGTAAAATAATTTAACAATACACTATATAAGGTAATAGCAAAATTTATAAAATATGTTATCAATTAAAATTTCATTATTTTTATCATATTATCAGATATAAAACTATCTGATAGTTGACTATAAAAGTAATACTCTTTTATCTTATATATGATTAAGAAACCTAATAACCAATTCAACTCATCAGTAATAAAGAACTAAAAATAATAATGGAACAAGCTATAGTATTATTAAACCACATACAAAAATTTTAAAAAAACTTTTATACAAATTTAACATGTTTAATATTGAAAAAAGAATATTATAATATAAAGATCAAGAAAATACTAGAATTATTTATTAAAAACAAAATTTTTTTATATAAAACTACAGATAATAATATTAGAAATGACAAACTGAAACTAAATAAAAGGACTCCTTTATATGTATAGAAATTTTTTAATAATGTTTATAAGATATGAACATTTGATAAAAAAATTTTGGTAATGCTGATCAATATACAGTTGATAAAAAATTATCATAATCGACTAACAGACAATAGAGCTTAAATAATAGAAGCACCAAACTGAAGAATGATCTCAACAATGTCCTAAAGTAAATAAAAATCAGATGTTGGTATATCTATAATTTCAATTAAATTTGAGTGTTATAGACAAAAACATACAAAAAAAATTATTAATAAATAATAAATAATAAAGAAGAAAAAAGAAGAAAGATGGAAAAAAGTAAAAAGAAAGAAAAATAAATAAACAGAAGGTAAGAACAAGTAAGAGAAATTAAAAGAAATAATCAAGTATAAAACTGCACAGAATCAAGAAAGAAAATAAGGAAAATTGATTATCAAAATGTTTAGTTTATCAAAAATTCTAAATGATATCACTAACCTCATGTCCATCGATATGGTAGAACTCTGCCATCCTTTATAAAATTACAAGACACTATTGGCTGTTTGACCCTGACCTACCCTTTTCTATTTCAGGTTATATTATATCAACAGCAAATCAAAACTCTGTCTATGCCTGTTATATTGACTTGATATTTACTCATAGTACCTTTGCACAATGGAGAATCCTACAAAATTGATCACCAAGTACTACTACCTCATCTCAATAAAGGTCTACAAAATATTTTCCATGTGTGATGACTCTGCTCAAATCTACTGGACCAATACATTGAAGTTTGCTGATCTTTGACAGCTTAAAACTGAGGAAGTGGACAAGTTGATTGAAGATCTATGCTCTCTCGTAGAACTCAGATTTTAGTTGGAAAGAAATGTGGGATCTTTATGGATCCTGACCACTTGGGTTATATCCCAATTAGGAAAAGATCGATTGCATCTGTCGCATCCGTCGCATGTGACCGATAGGTCACATCAGTCACATTGGTCGCATATGACATATATGACGAATAGCAATGATGGTATGAATTGTCTTTTAGGTAATATTAGTCATATGCATCGCAGAATGTAAATAGAAATAGACAATTATAAAAGGTCCTTCAGGAATGATAACTTGATCTTAGCGAATAATAATACGTAGTACATAATACATTGAAACTGAATACTTTATTAAATCATAATAGCCATTACTACAACAAAAATCTGTTCCTAACCCATAAAGTGCATAAAGTGCATAAAGTGTGTTCGTATATTTTTGATAACCAACCCAAAACCTCCCTTAAGACAGTAGAACCCATCTAGTACCAGTAAACCACTCGCCAAATCTAGCACACCTCTTTTGACCTAATTAATCCCTCCCAAGTGGTTACACGAGGAGTCAGACTGACTCACCGTTTTACGATTACAACATATAGTACAGTACGTGGCTCATCACTAGTTCCAGTACAACAAAGCTGCGCGCTATGTTATTAGATATTGTGCATTTAGGCCGCTTTAAACGTAAATTATTTCATTATACATGAATTTTGAACTACTTTAATTCTGATTTTACTATTAAAATTTTAATTTCTCTAATCTTGATTTATACGATTAGAATTTTAATTTGTCTAATCATTTTTGCCAAGTGACTACCATGATTGAGGTTGTTCATTTGATCAACTTACAAACTACATTAGAATAAGATTTTATTGCATCACTATAAATCAAATTAATATATGAACTACAAACGTTAAAATGTCAAGACACTAGCCTTAATTTAAAATTTTATGATAAAGTCGTTTAACGACCCTCTTTTTACGGTTTTGATCATGCAGGTGATCCAAATTATTTTGCTTGAGTAAAAATTACTACAGCTTATGTCGAACTGGTTTCGAATAATCCAAAATCAGTCTTGTCACTTGTTACAACCTATTTTAAAACCGGGGTTGATAAAAACTTTTTCGAGGTAGTTAGGTTACAACCTTATTGTTTGAACATTTATATAAAATATGTGATTCTAAAATGTCTAATATTGCTAGAAACTCGAGTTTTTTGTTGATCAAAGTAGTGATTGAGTTTAAGCCGCCGTCATAACATCATATAAAACCGAATAATAATACTGTAGTGGGCGGAATTCTGTGACTCGGTTGCTCCACAATCCGAAATTTCTTGCAACCAACGATAAGTAACCTTTACGAAAGAGGGTGTTAGATTTGGCTGGTGGGTGATTAAGGCTTTCGGTTACTTTAGGTCCACGAAGGCAAGTCGGTAAGTCACGTGAACAAGAACTCGAACAACAACGAAGTTTATGGATTTTGCAGGGTTTACACTGGAGGTAGTGTTAGTGTTTTATTGGGGACGATGTATATTATTGGGACTTGTTATTTTTTTAAAGCAAAACGAGCTCTCTCGCCTCCAAGACTATTTTGGTCTTTATTTATAATACTGAATTCGTCGCTCACAAATGCGACTTTACACTTATTATCTATTAAAACTAATTTAAGCTATTTACAAGGATTTATTTAATATCTTTTGATTTCCTCCTCTTATTCCCTATCTACCCCTTTGGATCCAAAATACCGTTTCCGATCATAAATGCACTTATTGCATTTCGTGCATTTTTCACATGATCGGTCACGATATTCCGGTTTCACAATACCCTTATTTCGTCACTACGGGGGTAGATTTCCGTCCTGGCCCGAATGACCGGAATTTACCTCTTATTACTCCCCACGCGGAAATAAATAGTACTTATTGGTCAAATTTTTACAGGAAATTTGCCTGCATCAGCCTACGGTTAAAGGGATAGAACATATGATCAAAAGAATTTAAGATTCAATTTTTTAAATAACTTGAAATCTCGCAGTCTTTTATACAAAATTCCCATATTTAGAATGTATAGCTGACACTCATATGATTGTGATATTTTACCAATGACATCATTCTATGAGATTACGTAATATTGTGCGGAAAAAACTTTACACTGTCATATCGATGAGTGTCACGAAGTAAAAACAGTAAGTCTAAAAAAAAGTTATTAAAAATTTTTATAATACAGTCGATACTGTCTAAATGTATATTGAATATTGTCTAAATGTATATTAAAAAAAATTTAGTATCAATATGCATTAGGCTGTTAATTATTTGATATTTAATTGGTTAATGCTATATAAATGCATAAAATTGATTTTTTTTATCTTTTCCGTTTAGACAGTATCGACTGTAATCTATTAGGCTTTTTGGTTTTCACTTGGCGACATTTATAATATATCGAACAATGTTGGCATTGGGGTAGGTGATGAAAATTGATAGAAAACCATCTATCTAAATTAATGCCACCAATGTAATGATACGCTCAACTACCAAATCATTTGATAGGTGCTTAACAATATGATTGCTACTCAGCATTGTGAATTATATGCATCAATAAATAATTTAACCTCTATATGTAATGATCTTTGGCGGTTATGCTATTACCAACCAAGAAAATTCTGATATGGTATATTTTTTTTATTAATAAAATTAAACCATATATAAGCAACCTATAAGTTAAGCTTTAAAAAGTCTCTTTACCTTGCAACACACATTTTGTAATTATGGTAATTTCAATTACAGAAAATTCGTTCCTATTTCATGCTAATTCTATTATTTATGGGTTTTTAGCGATAACTTACATGGTAAATGCCGAGATAAGTCGCCGTGGAATTATTTCACTAGTGATTTTGTCAACTGGAGCTTTGTCAGAATACATATTATTATATATAATGTCCTACCTAGCACTATGTTTTGATAGGACACATGTCTGCATTAGCAGAACCTAATGCAACATGTCACAACAGCTTATAGGTTACTTTGGTATGTAGACAATACTAAGTTTTTTTCAATAGAAATAAAATGAATTTTATTGTGTTTTATTGTTAGGAATATGATATGAACACCGTAGTGTGAACGTTATTTAATTACAGTCAAACCTCTAAGTGCATATTGCATTTAGAGCGGTAAAAATCTACAAGTATCAGATAAGTTAGGGCTAAGACAGACTCATGCATTTAGAGAGGCTATTCATTTAGTGAGGTCTGACTAAAATAGCAAGAATCGAGAATCATTTGGTATTGACCTCCTCGGAGTTTTAACTTGACCCTCCGAAGTGCATCATTCATATGTATATTTCGTGTGAATTTATAATTTGACTATCTGGAAATTATACCATTGGTGTTTTTTTTTTGCATTATAATAAATCTTAAAGGTTTAGGAGTACCCGAGAGCCGAAAAAACCGTTTTATATTTGCATACATATAATATATAATTTTGTTCAGGATAAATGAATTTAATTAACATTTTATGGATTTGGAGACAATTGTCATCATTGAAAGGAGAGTTTCCATCGATTATGCCGAGTTAACTCCGATGACTGACGTATGAAAGACGCGGGAATCTGAGATAAATTAAGGAACTCGGATTTTACCTGATTAGTAGGATGTATATTTTATGTATTCTTTATTTAGAGACGATTTAAAGAGTGCACATTTGATAATGAACGAAGGGCATGAGCAACTTTTTAAATACATTCTCATTCTTATTAAGAATATAACATCTATGATATAACTCTGAATCTCATTCTATCAAGTTTATGCGGGAGCGTATACGCTCCAAATATCGTTTATACGCAACTAGGGAATGCCTAATATTATTAAGGTAATGAATTAGAAGTGAGACATTAATCGTTACACTACTCAAAGAATATAGTTACAGCTTTTTAACAGGAATAGAATACAAAGGGTTTAAATGATTTTAAAATTAGTATGCAATTACATAACTTTAAAACTACGTTCCAGAATTTTAATTATTTAACAAATTATATATTACTTAAAAGTTACGTACTTGCTTTACTTAGAAAAAATAGGATTTTTTATAATCACTATATAGTAAATTATCTACTTTTTAAAATATCTTATATACAGTATCTGCACATTATTTTGAGTATTTGTGCGTATTACGAATTATTTAATATAATATACTTAGTATAACAAGCATGTAATATTACAAATATATGCAAATTCAGATACGATGAGTGTTGTAAACGTAAAATCGCTACAACTTATCCGGTATTGTGTAACCACTTAGGAGGGTTATTAACGGGTCGAATGAAGCGTGTTAGATTTGGCGAGTGGTTAATGGTCTATTAGTCGGGTTTACAATTAATTATAAACAAAGAAAGTTTGAGTCGTTACTGAGCAGAGGCATATGCATTCTTTATGTGATGGGACCTTAGTAGCGAGTATTCAATAAAGCAAACAGTTTATTATCATTTAATAAGTGATTTATTATAAGCGAGATGTATTATGTACTTAGTTTTTTTCCGCAAAGGGAAGTTATCTTTCCCGAAGGGCCTTCAGGCCTTTATTTGTAATTTATCGTAAACCCGACTAATAAACCATCAACCACTGCCAAATCTAACATGCCTCATTCGACTCTTCCTAAGTGGTTACACGAGACCGGATAAGTTGGAGCGACCGACTCGCCGATTTTACGTTTACAGAGTACGTATTTTGAAATTAGCATGAGCGTTATTTTTGAGTCAAATATGCAATTGTCAAAAAAACAGTAGTAAATTTCTTATATATAAAGTCATTTAAAAAATAGGGACCATGTATAGGAACTTTTGAAACAATCAGTCTGTATGTTCAAAAACTCTGAACAAAAAGGGTATCATTATTGGATACATATTAGAGTTCCGATCCATTATCCGTTTATCCGTTTATCTATCGGATATCCAAGATCTGAATTTATTCGATTATCTGGATATCAATAGTAAATGGATATCCGGATAAATTCAGATATGGATAAATGGATGGCGGATTTATCTTGATTGGAACTCTAATATATATAATAAAAATTATAAAATTCAACATTAGCTAAGACAGCAAAAAAAAGGACCTGCCCAGGGACCTTTTGCCACCCGATATATATAGATCTATGGTTATTTATGTAAACATGTAAATAATCTCTATATACAAGGTCACTTAAAAAAAATGCTGTGTATAGAAGCTTTCGAAACACCCAGCATATTGCCGATTCATGCAGTATTTGGAGAAATAGTAATTTCGGAGACATTATAATATCTTTACATAAAAGCTATTAAAAGCCGGAGTGCTGGTTTTTTAATAGTAAACATATTTGTAATCAACCAATCAAATTTGAGAAAAATAAAACAACCAATCAAATTTCGTAATCCAGACATCAGGGTGATTATGCCTTTAATATTCAATTACTAATGCTATTATCGGAGGTGGATACTATTCTAAGAGGTGCTATTACAAGTTTTTAAGATAACTGCAGTTTTATGTATATTCTATCAAACAACCAATTTTTTTATATGTTAAATATCTGGATATTTGCAACTCTATTACATTATATATTATATATTATAAATTGTATCCGGATCTTTTGCAAGATAGATTAAGAATAAGTATTATGCTATGGAAGGTATTTTGTTTTATGATCATCACTACCATGACCACAATATTGTGTTATTCATATTTCTATTCAAA